GGAATAAATTTAGAAATCATTGGACCAAATTTTCATATTTTGCGTGACAAAGAAATAATCTGCTGAAGAGATAAGAAGAACAATAAAAATAGTTAACTATACTGGGAATGAGAATGAAACAAAAAATATGAAAATTAAGCATGCTGACATTTTGGTGTTTGGTTTATTTTGACTTCGGTAAAGCACATGAGGGATTTTTGTTTAAAGGGAGGGACACTTTCATAGAAGGCTTTCTTAAGGAAATTGGCTCATATCTACAGTACTTATGGGAAAATCATGAAAGCTTCTACACAGTTAGTATGTTCACCAGTATTTAAAGACAAGTATTCAGTGGTTTTATAGCTTGGCCACTAGCAGATGTTGAAAACTTGAACAAAACTTTTTAATATTTAAAACAATGTCCTGATGCTTCTTCTATGGATCTTTTGTTGATCAAAAACTGACATGATCACTGGAAACTGTTGGATTTATAGGAATTACAAAAAAGGTTAACATACCTCCCTTCCTTTAAAAAAAAAACTTGTCCAATAAAAATGCTTGTAAGAAATTTAACAAAATTTAAACTTAATAATGCACAATTTATTGATGCAAAACAAAATTAAATACATATATTAAATAATTAAACATTGGTTAAATTTTCACAAAAAGTTCTATAAACGTCTACAGTAGATTAGATTAAGATAATTCAAACCAAATAAAATTCAACAGGAAAAATTTCACAAAAAGTTCTATAAACGTCTACAGTAGATTAGATTAAGATAATTCAAACCAAATAAAATTCAACAGGAAAAATTTTGCTGATAATCAATAGAAGTGGGAGAATGGAATATCTACAACTTATTGGATTGTTCAGAAAGATTTTTCATTTTTTCCCAACAGAGGGCTTAAATGTATTTTTTCACTGTCAATTTCATACTTAAGCTGCAAAATCATTATATGTTTTGAAAGCTGACATAGCAAGGCTTGTTTGTAAAAAAGTTTGATTGATTCTACGTAGTAATTTTTGATTGGCACCCTTTCAAATATGGAAAGCAAAAAGCAGCATTTTTGGCAGGTTTTGCTTTTTCCTATTGAAAAGGCAAAAATGCTATTCAAGTAAGAAAAAAAATTATCCAATGTGTATGTTCGGTCAATACATATAATTGACCGAATGCCAGTGCCAAAACTGTTTCGCAAAAAATTTCGATCAAGTAAGTTTGATCTTGAACATGGAGAAGAAGAACACGAGGAACCCACATGTCGAGCTTTGATATTAAACCTAGGCATTTCAAATCTCCATAAATGGTCGAATTCAATAAATTTAATCAGTCAGCAATCTCATGAGTTGTTATTCGCCGGTTTGCAACAATTAATACCTTTATTGTGCCTTCATCAGCTGTTTTTCTAGAACATGGTGCATCTTCAAGATCTGTCAATACATCCTCTCTGTACACATCAGATAATTTTTTTCTTGCTTGAACAGCATTTTTACCTTTTAGATAGTAAAAAAAAAAAGTAAAATATGCCAAAAACACTACTTTTCAATTTCTATATCTGAAAGGGCACCAACCAAACTACTACTTGGAGCCAATCGAACTTTTTCACAAACAAGCCTAACAGCTGCCAAAATTTATAATGATTATGCAGGTTAAGTGTGATGTTAGCTGTGAAAAAATACAATTAAGTCCTTTGTTGCGAAAAAAGAAATTACTTTCCGAACAACCCAATAAGTTTCCTTTATTGCTGGGAAACATTTCCTTTAACCCTTTGACTACTAACAGGAGATATATGTCTCCTTAAAAGTTTAAAAATTATTGCCAGGTTAAAAAGTACTTAGAATCTCCTGAATGTTGGGGATCATCTTCCAATAGTTGGAAAATCAAGACACCACTATGCTCATTGTACACAAATGAACATAGAGAAAAGAACAAATATGAGTTGCCCAATGTGTAACATTGGGTTATAAAAAGAATACTTTTTACTCTAACATATGAGGTAAATCTATTTTATACAACAAAGTTTTTCAGAATAATAGCTGTGCTTATAGTAAGTTGATTGTACATGTGACACATAGGTGTCCTACAATTAACTACGGCTGGGACATGTATCTCTGCCTTCGGCTTGAAAACTGTTTGTCAAAAAAATCCCAAATGCTAAATTTACCTTATTTATGACATATTTTGTTCACTTGGATAGAAAATGGGGTAATTTTTTTTAAATTCATAGTGAAAGGATTAATAAAGGCTAAAAATTAAAAGCAAGGAGATTGGGAAATGGTGTGAAAATTGGAAGAGTTGGTAGTTATGTAATATGAAATTACTGTTACATTATAATAAACTTTATATGGATACATTTTGTTTGAAATTTAACCTGTCAAAATACAAAAATATAATAATAATAAGAAGAAAAACCACAATAAAATTTTGTTTATGAAAATTAATTTTTTATTAGTAGTAACCGAAAAACTCTAAATGAAAATATAACATAGAATAATTATATACTAAAACCAATATTTAAATCACTTAAAAAAACTCCACACCTACTTTTTGCCAATAATCTTGATTTCAAACGACAAAACAACTGAAATAATTCAAGTACTGCAAATATAAATTATGAGAGGTGGAAGAATTTATGAAAGCCTTAACACCAGTTGGAAATTTTTTTGCCACATGGGTGAAAACAGACATTCTTATGTGCTGTTGAAGAATATGAATATGAAAATCCTCCTCTGCTATACAGAATATTGTAAAAATCACTTTCACATCAGGAAACTGTTAACAAAAATAAAATATGTTTACATAATTGCCAGCATCTGAAACTGGGAATCATTGCAGCAAGAATCACTGTGTGGTAATAATGAATGTACCCTGTTTTATTTGTTATGAAACTTTCCTTCAAAAAATTCATAAATCACTCAACTATAAGGCAAAGTGTAACCAAAATTTCTCAAGATTTTGGACTTTGTGGATATAGAATCATATGCAAATGTGTGTCTGTTCCAAAGAACTACTACTTTGATGTGTACCTACAATAAATAACTTGTCATGACAATATTTTCATAGTTATTCTGTCAGCCTTCTGCATAAAAATTGCATCATTTTATTAAACAAAGCAGTTTAGTTATTAAATACTGATTTTTAATATCAATTTTATTGCTGTAAATGAAAAAAAAAAAAAAAAAAAAAAAAAAAAAATCATCCACATGTCAAGTATTCATACACGCACACAAAATTCATCAGCTCAAGAAGACAACTGGTTTTAAGATCACTATCATTAAGAGGAATGAAATCATTTTGATAGTACACTACACTATCATCAATCAATATTTTTAAAGTATTGGTATTTAATCCTTCTATATTTTTTATTCTGCTTCACGTAATTATGCATTTGAATTATGAGTCACTTTAAATGATTAAAACTCATTCAAAGAAAAAAAAAAAAAAAAAAGAAGTGAATCCTACTAGTGAATCACAACATTACATCTGAGGAATGATTAAGCAAGCATTTTTTCCTAAGTTATAAATCTAATGAATCACAGGATACAAAGCCTTCCCCCCAATAATAAAAGTTTTATTATTTTTATTATTACTACCACTGCTAGAAGAACTTTATAGCACAGACATGCATCAATCCTTCTTTTCTTTAACCCCTTAACTACCCTGGGCGTATATATACACCTTTCCAAAATACTATCATTTGCTTTGCGCTGCTGCCAGTAAAATTATTCACAAAGCTTTGGAATGCAACAACAAAATGACCTTGACAGAGTATGCCAAGGAGGATACTATTTTACAGAAGAGAGGAGAAGGAATTGGAGAGGGGGATCTTCCTGAAATGGTGAAAGTAATGACTGCATGGTTATTGCTCGTGTTTCTGTTTGAGTAAAACATATTAGTTTTATTCTGTGTTTTCCATTTTCATTTACTGTTTGCAGTAGCTGCTTTTTGTAGCAGGTGGAGGTGAAAGTAATGACTGCACAGTTATTGCTCCTGTTTCTGTTTTAGTAAAATGTATTTTTTATTCTGTGTCTTCCGTTTTCCCTTACTGTTTGTAGTAGGTGGCAGGAATAAAGAAAAATATAACGGATGTTTCAAACCCCTTATCTTTCTTGAATTATTTTTTGATAAACAGCTCGTCCTTCATACTGTTACTGAAACTAACTGTTTTGCAGACCAGTACATAAACCAACATCCTGCAAAAGCAAAATCAAGAACAAAATCGTGGCATCCAACCAATTCAGAAGAGATACATGCGTGTGCGTGTTTTTTTTTTTTTTTTTTTTTTAAAGAGACACAGATTTTACAAGGTATAACATTGAAACCTGATATTAAACTTTACTGGTCTAAAAATAAATTGAGTGAAACTTCATTTTTAGGGATCTTTTTTATTATACATCATTTTTATAACACAAAAATCATTTTTAATATAATTTTACTTTAAACATTAAATTTTGTTTTTTCATTTTCTCTTTTAATCTTTATTTTGTGAAAGTAAACAGTTTTTAGACAGCAAAGCTTGCAATTATTCCCTTCCCAAAATACATCACATAACTAAGCATGCCTGTGTAAAAAAAACATTGGTACTGAGGAGTAAATTTTGTACGTTTTCTGTGGCAGTTAAGGGGTTAAAAATTTATTTATCAACATGACAATGCCTACATATGCACAAGTCATCTCTCCTAAAAATGCCTCTATAGTAATAAAAGTTTTACCTATCAACCTACCTACCTTAGCTATTCTCAATGCAGAATTCATGATCAAGCAGTAATTAATGATAACATGCTACTGAAATAAGATCATTTGCTTTTGATTTCAAATCAACTTTCTTTTCATTTATATGTATAACAGAAAGGACATATTAGATGCTTTAGATATTTCAATCTCAGTTTAGAATCAAATGTATATATTTTATCACAGTAAAAATGAAAAGGTAAGGCAATAGAATAATATATGTATATTAGTTTAAAAGCCTTAATTATCAAATAACTAATATCTGAAGGGAAGCAAAAGTCATAGGCATACCCTATGTTGGCTTAGATTTTGAAGTTCTTCCTTATGAGTGGCACAAATATGGTGAAGAGTTGCTAGATCTCTTGCAGGATCCCCAGAAAATGTTTCTTCTGGTTCCGGTCTTTCAGGAACATTCTAAGTGTACAAATTAGGGAAACATTACTTTATGCTACACACACCAAATATATATACATATATGCCAGAACATAAGAGTATATCTTACCGATATGTCATCAAGGAACTTAATCATCCTATTCTTGTTCTTCAGAATGAAAGGATTAATTACTTCCATCCATGGCTCCTTATATTAAAACAAAAATCTTTATAAATTTCTTTACTCTTCACTTAAACTCCTTTCTTTTTACTGAAGTATTAAATGAAAGTTGTTTGTACCTTTATCATATACTAAAAAACTGGATCAACAATAGCAGCCACTAACTAATTCAACATACTTACATCATCTATTCAGCAATAATTTCATAACTTAAATTCAACACTTCAAAATAATTCAGTTTTCTGGTTCCTAAAAGCCTGAAGATTTTAGTGTGTAAAAGAAAGCTACTGTTTTCTTATGAAAACAGTAGCTTAATATTGTTAATCATATATATTGAATAATTCACAGGCATTCAGAGTTTTCAAACTTAAATTTATTGAAAAGTACAATTTAATATATTTTTCATTCATATCTCTTTTACATTTATACATCATTTAATCGCTGTCCTGATTCATTCTGGTTCACGTTAACAATGGAATATTTCATTCACATAAGACATAAATGTTGATTTCCCCAATTTATCTATAGTCAGAATTCCTTTCTTTAGTTCTTTTCAAAGTTCAAATAATTTCATCAAAAGTAATTTATTTCAATATTATTTGAAAGTTTTACGGATTGATATGGCTAAGAGAAAGGAAGATGTGGGACATCTCAGACTGGATAGGGATTCAAATCTGGTAAGTGATTGGATGGAGAAGGGGATCAGCTAAAAAGATATAACAAAAATGGAATCTGCTAATCAAACAGGTTGGCTGTAGGTGATATTTCATTCCTTTGCTATTTGTAAGCATCTTTCAGCTGGACAGCAATTAGCATTTTGGTTAAGGCTCAAAATCAAAATGCACATTAGAGGACATTAGAAATTCTTAATTATTCTGTTACTCATTTTTAAGACTGGCAATTAAAATAAAGGCACAATTGTTCTCATTTTTATATTATAAAGTCCACAGGCTTATGATTCGTACAGTGAAAAAAATTTAACTTCTTTGATACAGATATAATATTTTAAACAAACTCCCCAATTTAACTATCAAGCAGGATCATAAAATTTATTTATCAAACAGGATCATAAAATTAATTTTTCAGTATGTTAGTAGAATTGAAATTTTACAGCTAAAATATAGTATCCCATTCTTCCAGTGAAATTTCGATTATGTACAATTTTTTTAAGTAGTCCCTTGAATGAAGTATAAATGATGCTTTACTGTACTTATAGTAAGAATATATGCTTCAAATAAACATGCATCATCATTTTTCTTCTTTATATGTGTCACAACTTATATTACTTTATCTGCTACTAATTTTTTCTGTGCATATTACATATATCCTTCTCTCTTTTTTAATTAATTGAGCTATATCATAAATTTTGATATGATATTAAAAAATTAAATACCTTACCAGTTTGCTGTTATTTTGATTAAAAATAAATATTTACCATATTTAAGTAGACATTTTTCACTTTTTTCCCTTCCCAGATTCCCACTCTTATTATAAATACTACTATTTTAAGGCCTTTGGGGCTATCAAATACACATATCAATAATGAAATCAAATAATTTGGTTACTTCTTATATAAAATACTAGCATAACAAATTATTCATTTCAGTTTCTGGGGAAAATGATAAGATCGATATTTGATTATGTAACATTTATTTGCAGAACTAACAAAACCATATTTATAACATGTCACTCTGATGACACTTAAAGAGGATTTGACAAAAGCTAAAGAGGATCTAAAATATAATAAGATTTATTAGTGAAAATAATATTTGAACCAACAATCCCTACTCATCAAAAATACATGTGATTAATGAAGTCACAATTTATAATTAACAGTCTTTAAAAATGATGTCAGAGACAATTATTAAAAATGCAGAAATGAATCAGTTGACAAATGTAAAGAACAAATTACGGGTGAACTAGCATAACATACATCTAAAATAGGCAGAAAATTTTGCTTTGATTTCTTATAACTTTTTCCAAGTATAAAATCAAATTACATAAGACAGTAATTACAGCAACCACCATCATCAAATAGATTTTAATTTTACTAATAGCCGACAATTTTAGGCTGACTAACAGGGCCCACCCTCTAGCATCAATTTCTTCAGAATTCTTTTTCCAATGCATATGAGTAAGCCTTTTATTTCCTACTTAGCTTTTCTAAATATTCATAATTTTTTCCTACTCAATAAATCATAAATAATTAAATATGCACATTATCAAATATAATTCATGCTAGAAACACAAAACTTGTATATAGCGACATTTTCTTACTAAAAGTAGTTTTTACTGAAGGTCCAAAATATATGACATACTTCAATTAAATTTTAACAAAAAATTATATATTTGCAATATTAAAAAATACTCTGAATATTGATAAAAATATGCAACAAAAGTTTTTAAATTAATAAGGCTAGAATAAATTACTGAATCATTAATTACTATACAGTAGTAATATATATTTAACTGATAAGGATGCAACATAATTATTAAATTTTGGACTAAATATATTTTAAAAAGCCAAGAACAACTATAACAAATCCTATTTCAACTTGAAATAAAAAAGTAAAATAAAACTGGGAAGTAAGCTATAAACTTGAATAAATATAATATAACTTGAAATAAAATAGTAAAATAAAACTGGGAAGTATAATTAAAAGAAGGAAATTCACCTCTTTCCAAAGAACAGGATTTTACTTTTATATGTATATGAAGAAATTAAGTGAATGAATAAACAGAGAAAGAAAGAACTAATTTTTTAATTATAAATATAGCTCACCATATATATTTAAAAGTTAGAATACATACGAAAGTAACTCCCTTCTTTAGAAGAGAAATTTAATTCTTTCTCTCAGAGCCCTTGTAAATAATACTTACTGTTATTATTTGATATCAGAGAACAATGCTTAAAAAGCAACCAAAACTCAACAAACATTGTAGGTTCAGAATTTTTGTAAAGTGGTCCAACTATTATGATTAATATAACTGGTAAGCTTATTTTATTGCATAACAATTAAAATGTAATTTTTTAAACAATAGAACAAAATACTCTTAACAGAACACTCTAGTATTATTTCTTTTACATGATCACCACTTCTATTATTATTTCACAATTTGTTTAAATTATTTACTTATCTTTAATATACACTTCACTTCCTAGCAGATTATGGTAAATTGAACAATTTTTACTGTCTCTACTCAGAGTTTCATTCAGTAATGCATTTTTAAATTTAAAATATACATATTTAAATTAATTAAATGAATTATGCACGTATTATTTCAGATAAATAAATTAATAATGCATGTATATTCTAAAACACATTTACAGAATTAAATGTTATAGAAGTACATAATTTTATATTTTGCATTTCATATACGAATAACATCAATATAAAACAAATTGAGAAAGTTAAAATGCAGATTTACTACAATTTAATTTCCTCCAGAGGAAATCTGCTTCTTCATTACCTAGAAACTATGCTCGTATGAAAAGTCCTCCTTACATTTTTTAACTTTTGATAATACATTTAAAATCAGATCATATAATGCAAAATTTTCTATTTGACTGAACTAATGCTTAAAAATATTTCACAAAGATGCTCTTAATTAAACCTGACATGAAACATAAGGATACAGGTCTCATGTGCTTAAACTAAATTAAATAAACTAACTCTAGGCATGTACCAAGTAACTTAAAAAAATAAAATTTTTACACAACAGAATATGGCAAGGTAAGAGACAGAATATTAAAATAACTGAGATTTTGCAGTGAACATAGAGTGTAGAAGTATTTGAGGGGGAAACAAAGATAAATGATAGTAAATGTACTTAAAAATTGTTCTAAACTAAGACAGAATGCCAGAATAATTGGTCTTGAGATTCATTTGCTAATGAAATTATAAATAATTAATATAAAATTAACAATTTTATAAAATGGTATCTAAAAAAGACATCTTTATTATGGCAAAAATAACTGGCTCTCTTTTTTTTTTAAATTTTATTTATTAAAATTATTACTATTATTATGAATATTTTTATTACCCTCTTTTTTTTTTTTTTTTTTCTTTTCAAGTTTTAACAAGAAAAAGAGAAAGGGATGTGAACCTCTAGTACTTGCTTTATTTAAAAAATATTTACATTAAAAATAAAAAAAAATTAAACTATATTTTACAAAAAAATTTTATTCATTAAAATTTTAGAGTTAGAGAAGGGAAAAAAAAAATGCAAGGTTAAAAAATTATTACCTACATTTCAATTTAAGGGGCAAGCAATATAATTGAGCAGACCAATTTAAAAAATACAATTCCAAATATTTACCTGATAGGATTCCTGAAAGAAAAGTATCATATTCAAATTTCTGAAAGTTTGTGCAAGAAAGAATACACAGAAAAGTAGGAATATAAAAGACTAAACTTGTTTAATGAAAGAGGATACAAATATTGCATTAAAAGGTGGGAGGATTATTAAGAAATAATAGATCAGATCTGTATTAATTTTAACAATCACCATTAAATGTGAGAGTTGTTAATTGTCATTATTAGAAGGAAACTAAAAAAAGGGGGCAGTGATTGGGGGGGACATAGCATTTTACAGTGAACAAAAATTATTAATGCTTTCAGAAGAAAAAAAAGACTCTAGCTGAAATTATTTTAAATGAGACCAAATAAAGGGGATATCTGCCCATAATATGCATTTATCTTCAAATGATTTCATAAAAGGAACACTACACTTATTACTAATAAAAAGTTATTGGTGTGAACTAAAAGCTTTTATTGTATGTCATTATACAAATCAAAATGTCTTATTGCATACAGTTTATTCAAATAAATAATTTAGATTTAATTGGTAAAAGAACTCTTAAATATTACCATTAAAATGAAATTAAATATTAACACTTACCTTGGCACCAAACTCAACCAGATTAGCCAGATTTTGTAAACATTTTGCTACTAATATCAGGCTTCTAGCAGCAATTTCAGAAGGAGTGTCTAAAGAAATTTTTTTATTACAGAGAAAATATACATATTTTTTCAATAAAAATATTTTTAATAGTAACATATAATTAATATATATATACAGGATGCCCATTATTAAACTTGAAATTTGTGAGCAGTCTGTAGCAAAAACTATACAGCAGAATTCCATGAGCTTTATTGAGAACATATAAATAATCTACAAACATTTACAAAACATGCTAGATATGATGTTTACCATTGTCTGCCACCATCTGGAAGCGTAAAATCGCGTGTTCAACTGTCAAAAGCAGCATGAAATAGGGAATGTTACGCACATGACGTTTTTTGCTTTCTTTAAGGTCTGATAAAGATGTGATGGGATCACGGTAGACCATCGCCTTGAGGTATTCCCACAGCCAAAAGTCGCAAGGATTCAAGTCGGAGGATCTAGGAGGCCCAAACTGTAGGAAATTACCGGCTGATGATTCTGTCATCACCAAAATGGTGGCGGAGCATTTGTTTCTCACAATGGGCAATGTGTGGAAGAACACCATCCTGTATAAATGCTGTGGTTGTATCACACCGCCTTGCCTGAAGAGCCAAAATAATAGTTTGCTTAATAATGAAGCGTATCATTGACCTGTGACGGTGCATGTCCCACACCCTGCGGCGCTGTGGTCTTCAAAAAAAAAAAAAAAAGACCTTCAATGAAGGTTGCAGTAAAGCTGCACCAAACCGTTACATGTGAAGAGTGCAATGGAATTTGTGGGTTTGTAGTAGCCCAAATACGGCAACTGTTTGTGTTAACTGCGCCTTCCATATGAAAGTGGGCCTCGTTGGTCCACAAAATGTTCCATGGCCATTCATTCTGGAGCTCAACTCGCATAAGAAACCGCAACGCAAAAATTTGTCAACTATTCAGATCAGCTGGTAAGAGCTGCTGCACTAGCGACAGTTTATAGGGGTAGTAGCCTAAGACCTACTGAAGAATCTTATGAACTGTGAAATGAGGTTGGTCAACAGATGCTGCAATATACCGAACACTAGTGCTGATGATGCCTTGCGATCTGTCTTCCTCCATTTGCGTCGCTACATCATCTACTACCTGCACCGCAAAACACTTTCATTCCCTTCTTGGCTGTTTTCCCAGTGTTCTCATTGCTTTAAATTTTATAATCATGTTTGTTAGTCCCTGACTACTGTAAAGGCCCTTATTTTCACAAGGCTTTAATTTTCGTGAGCTTGTCATAATCATGAAAATTTAAGCCTCGGGAAATACTTTTTTTTCCGCCTCAAATAATAATAAAAAATCAAAAATTTTTTACTTACCCAAAATTTAATGATTTATTGCATATTTACAAGCTTTCTCTTGACAACTTTCTTTTCTATAACTATTTTTTGAATAATACACAACTATATTTCTCAAATATAAAACAATAAAATTAATAGAAGGCAGATCATTCCCTTAGAATACTATTTATACCAGCTTCTTTGAAGCCATTCATAATTATTTCATGTTTGGCTTCAATCCGTTAAATATGTGCACAAGCCAAGAAGCGTGAATCGGTTTTAGTCGTGATATTCACAAGTCCACAGATTCTTTTTCCTCTAGAATTGAAGCTCATTAGAATACCACTCAATAAACTCATTCTTGGGCAAACGCTTGAACTCGTCATTTACAGTTAAGTCCAAAGGTTGAAGCTCTCCTGTGCAGGAAGCAGGCACAAAAAATGGAATAATATTCCTCTTCTCCAGTTCAGTCAAAAAAAGAGGATCTTGGTGTGCCTTAAAAACGTCGAACAATGCTACACCAGGTTGTTCTGGAACTAGCCCGAGAAGCTCTCTCTGCTTGTGGTAATAAGGTACAAGAATATTCTTGATGTATCGAATCATTGTGTTAGTATTACTCCAGTTCAAATCGATGTCCCACACATCCCAGTCCGCAGGAAATGTACCCTTTGGATGACAATTTGTTGTTTTTCCAGCAAACAATTGTGGTGGAAGTAGATTTCCAGCAAGGGAACATGCTAACAAAACAGTCATCTCTCTTTTATCTTCCATGCCGATTACAGACACTTGTTTTGAACCACATTCTTCCAATGTGTAAATAGATGTAGACACAAACTTTGTGTTTGTCTGATCAAAGTTAATGACCATTTCAGAGAGAACAACATTTTTGTCGATCACTGTACGAAAACGCTTAACGAATTCGTCGCAAATAGCTGGGAAGTCTGGAGGCAGTTTTCGTGTAGCCTTGGTTCCCTTTCTACGGATAAAGTTCATTCTTTCCAGCACGCTTCTGGCCCATCTTTAGTTCAAATCAAAGCATGGATCATGTGATTTCACAATTCCTTTTGCAGCTGTAATAACAAAAGTGCGGTTCACTATTCCACCAGCAATCCGCAATTTACGTATATATGTTTGAACAGTTGCATCAAAATCACAAAGTTTTAAGGGGCGACGGCAATCACTGTGCGGTAAAGTTGTTACATCGGCTTTAGCTTGTTTAGATGCTTGAATGTACTGTTTCTTTATGCTGTGAATGGTTGATTTACTCACCGGCCTTCCCAGTTCAGAGGTGAAATGTTTCACTGATGCAAAATTTCTGTTCATAGTAGCATATCGGCCCATTTTGGACCTCAGCCCTTTGTCATATACTGCATACTGTCCACGTTTCATTCCACGTTTTGCTTTCAAAGCAGTAGAAACCTCAGTATTAGCAGATATTACTTCTTTTGATTCAAAAAACTACTTAGCGTTTCTTGCATTCGGAAGCCCTGTCGGCGCTGGAGCTCCTATAGGAATTTTCTCTCCCATGTTCATCAACTTGTACAAGTATTTCCAAATTTTTTTACGGCATTAATAACACGTTCTCGTCTCAATTTCCTATCTCACACTCACCGCTTCTATCTCTCGTCAGAACATTGGGCGAAAGCCACCTTCGCGACGTATTCCTCTGTTGCGGAGCTCCTGCTAGAAACAACTTGTTCAAGCAGATGTTGGGTATGGACGATCCAATTCCAAGAAAAGCGAAGGAGGTGGGGTGATTACACTTTCAGTGCAAAACGGGAAGGGGAATGCACACGTTGAGCCAAGATCAAAATTGATAAGCACTGTGGGTTGTTTTAAGAGCGATGGAGGAGGGGGGACGAACTTTTCGGACAAAGGGAAGTTTCTTAAAATGCTTTATGCAAAAAATGTACTTTTGGAATTTTTCAACTTTCTCAACTTTACTTAGGTACTTTTGCAATTTTCGGTTCTATTCATATAAAATTCAGCTCGCGAAATCACCGTTATATTCATTTTCGCAAAAATTACGGCCCGTGAAAATTTACTTTACTGAGCCTTTGGACTTTTTCGTAAAAGCTTCAAAGACCGAAATTTCCGCAAAGCTTGGGTAACAGTCTCCATTTAGGTAAAACAATTTCACCAGTAAAGCCTGTTCCTGGAGAGTCAACATCATCTTCCTTGACTTGGAAATGTGTATGATTACGGTTCGCTTATCGCATTTTTATAGGGTTGCTGTGCGTGCACAGGATTGATGTGGTTACATCATTTGTATATGTCAATAGTCTACATTGCACAGCACCATCTAGTGGTGGTTTTTGAAACTCAATTTTTTTTCCCTTGATAAAATTCCCACCATTTCATTCTGCCATTAGCCAATTTTCATGCAATTCTGCTGCATTGTTTTTGCTACAGACTGCTCACAAATTTCAAGTTTAATTATGAACACCCTGCCCTATATACACACACATATTGAGTGTCTGTACTATATACAGGCTTTTAAGTTGTGCAGGTCATGAGGTGCACCCAGACAGCTCAGAATCACATTTCAGTATAGGATCCCAAATGGCCTGCACATACGATTGTGTACATAGAAAATAAGAGAAATAAAAGGACACCATGCAAGTGAACAAGCATTTTAATAATAAATACATAGTGATAAAATTAACAAGCTCAAAGAAGGTTGATGGAGTAAACTCATGAGCTGCATGCAGGCCTCACAACTTCGGAACATAGAATTTCAAATATATTGAAAGATTCCAAGTATATCTCAGGTGTTCTCAGTAATTACTACTAAGATGTATGTGACTAGCTCTTCAGTGCTGTAAGGGGGCGGCATTAACCGATTGTTTTCATATGCTCCCCCCCAGGAAAAGTAACCAATGTACTGAAACATTATTCCCAGCCCACTGTTGGCCAAATGTAACATATATGTGGCCCTGTTTAGAATATCAGCTCACTCTGTATGCACATCGGCAAGCTCTGTATTTGCAGAAACCTCCGAGTTTGTGCTCTACAACTTGCACACTCAAGCTTAACGTTGCCTTTACTAGAGCAGCACAGTTTTCTCGATGTTCAGAATCAATGCCAGTCGTTTCTGACTTATGGATAACATCTTTCATACAATCCCTGTGCAACTTGCCCATTATATCCGGCCACCATGTATACCAAATATACCTGTCAGCTAACTCGATGTTCATATAATCACCCATCTTATGTTGCCCAATTGCTATACTGGTTAGTGACACTGATTGCCACACTGATCGGCACAGGTCTGAATCCTCGAGAAGACAAGGGTGTTTATAAGTGTATAGTGTCTGTGCAGCAAGGGGTCACTCAAAATACATGGCAAGCTGAAAGTTTTCTTGAGAGGTAGCTGATAGAGAAAAAAGTATAGAAGACCTACAGATGTCTCTTGGAGTGTTTTTCCTCAATGTGGCACAACTACACAGTTAGTGACGCAGGACTATACTTTTATGACCAATGGTGGAATTCTGGTGTCCTGTCCATTTCTAAATGTACCTGTACCTCTGCATCCATGCATGAAATAAAACTTCTCTGCAAGAATATCCACCATCTAACCTATCAGGAAAACATTTTCGACTCTACACTGCTAAATGATTCTTACAGCTTATAATGTGTGTGTAGAAATATTAATTCCATAAATGTTGATCCACACATTGAACAGCACACTTGACAGTCGAGGAAGACTAAATGTTCATTCTTCCGCCACATGAAGTTTACAG